TAGTCGATATGAACTTACTTACTATTTAGTTAAAAACATTTTTGAGTACTCGAGCAGGTCTTATTGCCGCGGGTCGATGATTTCATAGACTGTTCGTCACGGTTTGTTATCGCTACATTACGCGATCAATGCGCGGAACATTGCCCCATACAATACTCAGGACACACACATTGCACAGCTACCTTGTCCACCTGTCATGAATTCGCTTCCGTAATAAGATTCGTGTTTACGTTAAAAAAGAAACGTGGTAGTCTAGTTGAAGAGTGTCTTACATATGTACATTTGTGAATGTTTAGTAACAATACCATAGATGATGGAAACGTGTCGTCATGGAACATGCGTGTAGAAGAAAGTTTACAACCCTTGGAATATTTGCAGAGTCCCCAAACTCTAAATTTTAGTACCAGTAAAACTCCCCGTGAAAGAAAATGAAAACGCAAGGGACTTCTCAACTTTACGGTTCGTATTCTAGAACTCTACTCAATGCTCAAGTCAGGACTTGAGTATGATTCAAAGCACTAGAAAGCACACTCAAGACCTTGCCTCGTATTTCCAGTGTTTGAAATCATACTCAAGTCTGCTCAAATCCTGACTTGAGCATTGAGTAGAGTTCTGGAATACGACCCTACGTCTCGTCTCATCTTTGCGATTTAAAACACTGAGTGGCACTGCAACTGTTGTTCGTTCCCTCACTTGACTAGATAATCTCGCATTGGGCCAGCGTAGCGAACTATTTATTGCCTTAACCCTCTCTTCAGAGGACAACCGTTCCTAGCAGTGAGACTACGTGCGGTATTTGAGGGCTTTCCGCGCACAACCTGCTCGGGTAAGGTATCACCGCCCTACTCAGTCACAAACAACATCCGTAATAAAGTGAAGCGATATTTCACGCCTGAAGAGCTTTTAACTCTGTACAAAACGCAAGTCCGATCTTGCATGGATGAATGGAGTGTTGTTATCGCATTTGGGATGTATCAGCGAAATATCACCCAGAGGCTCTTGACTAGGTTGACCGCAGAGCCAGGAGATTTATTGGCGATGATAAGCTCGAATCTAAACTTCATTGTTTAGCCCACCGGCGCACAATTGCTTGTCTGTCGGTTTTCTCCAGCTCAATCCGCTGATCGCGCTCGCCTCTTTCTACCATCGGATATCCAGAAGTACGGCGGGGTTCCTTATCCCTACCCCTACCCCTAGTTCCCTATTTAGTCGATATTTTCTTCAACAGCTTTTAGTCAATCTTATTATGTGCACAGCCCAGGAATGGAATTCCCTGTCTGTAACTATGTTTTCGAGCACATACAACCAGAGTATCTTTAAAGTAGCATTCAATAGGCATCTTCTGGATGAGCTCGTTCCATCGTATCTTTGCTCCTGGGTTAGATAGTGGTCACCAGCAAGTCCATTTACTTTAAAAATTACAGGATAAGTAACATTGACCTACAGATTACACAGACCTTAAAATACCTTCACCTCCGTTGCTTACTTGCTGCTGTTGCAGATACGTACTCTTTTGTCTAGCTGATTACGTCACTTGTTTGAACGGCTTGACCAGACAGGTATAATAAAGAAAGCCTCGATCTAGACTCCTTTGTTAGGCGACTCCGGCCTTTTGTTTTCAAAAGGTATGACACTGTTTTTTTGGAGCGATCTTAATCGTCTAAAGCTTGAACAATAGGGTCATGAAGTCGCAGTGACTTTTCGCTACGATGAATTACAATGACAATGGATTAGTTTCAAAAACAAAACGTTACGTTACGACGATGTTACGTCCACGTACGTGTATGTGCGAGTAAAAAAAAGAAGACACAAAACCGGTTAAGGACGTACTCGTATACGCGGGATTGGGTTCCGTTGCTGATATTTGTAATTATTTTTATAATTATTTATTTAAGGATTTTGATGTTATAATTGGAAAAAAACATTTAGTAGAATCCAAACGGATGAATCAAAATACTACCCAACCAACATTGACTTACAATTATTTGGACGTCGGGTCCGCGCTAAAAAATGTCCGAACTTATTCATCGTCATTCACGCTTTAGTCTTCGTTTGTTCGACTGACAGCGAAGGAAGCAAAATTAGACAGTACTGCGATGACATTACAATTTAAATTCAACGTTTTAGCTTTTTCATATTCCTTTACATGTCACTACGTTTAAATAGGTTGACTTGGGACATTTTTTCGTGGTTTTTGTATTAGACCCGTCGTCCATTTATTTGTAAGTCAATGCCAACCAAACATAAAGCGCGGGATCGCTATGCGAGAATAGCAGTATCTCGCGCTTTATGTCGCACTCGGACAAGTCGCGCTTCCTTTTGCTAGCCCTACTAATTGATGTGGTTATCTAGCACATCATAGTTATTTTGGCAGTGTCTCAAATATGTTTCTTTCTGAATTTCATTAATTTATTAGTCGGAACGCAATATTACAGGCCTACCGCTTAATTGAGTCGGTTCCTGAGGTAGCTGCGCGGTGCGGGAGGAGTGACAGTTTACATCACGCTGCACACGGGATAATTTTAACAAAACTTTTCTGGCAATGTTCAATAAGTTGATAGAGGCCTGTCATGCTAGACCTACTGGTCTCGAAACTAGGGAATCTCTGAAATATGAGTACCTGAGCAACGGGGTTCACTGCGGGGCGCTACCTGTCACACTCAGACCGGGACCTTCTCGTCCAGCGCTCACAGTGCAAACCATTGGGCCGCCGAGGTCGTTACGAAATAAAGTTATATTGTTTTTCATGGTAAAGAGAATTTTGTCACATTTGGCGAAATGGCATTTACGGCCGGGAAATGCCGTTTTTTTTGTTTTGATCGATGATTCCCAAAGTGGTCTGGACCCCTGGAGATCTACACCAAACAACAAAAATTGAGGCTGCCACGCTAATGGGCATCCACGAGAGTGAAACCTATTTAAGCAGGTCACCAGAATTTTGACTTTCCATTATCCACATTAGAATAGAATAGAAACCATTCATTACAAAACGCCGCAACACAAAAAAATGCAGTAAGAAAGAAAAATAAAAAAAAAGCAACATTAAAACAAAAATAAAATAGAATAACCTAAAAATAAAATAAAATGAATAAAAATAAAATTTTAGTAATAGGTAATGAAATGACAACAAAGCAAAAACATTAAATTGCCAACACTCCTGTGTAATAAGTAGATGTCAAGTGTGCGGCTGTGGCGTATGTAAAAGGATCCACTCGGCTAATGTCACCGCCGAGAAAAGGCTGTGACGCTGATTTTCAGCGGACCCTGAAACTGTCAATGATGAACATTACACAGATAGTACCTACGTGCATACTTACATAATACTTTCTTAAAATAGATATATACATTATCTACGAAATTAAACATTTCACAACAAACAAGACATTCAGTTAGATAAATGTATAATTATTTTTTTTTGTAAAATTTCCTCCAAGCTTTTGCCGATAGGCAATTCGAAGTACAATCGGCACATTTATACAATAGAATCTACAAAATTCGTATTAACAACTTACAGGTGTACAGCTGTAAAACAGCTTTGGCTTGATCTCACTTCATTACAATGAAACGGAGAACATACTCTACCCTTAATATACAAAACTACACCTCTTGTTTACTTAGCACATATCTTTACTTATTTATCTTGAGTATTATGTTGAGTTGTGTACAGTCAGTTCAGTTAGTATTTTGCTAGTTATGATAGGATGTTTATTTCTATTACTAAAAAGAATTGGAAGAGCGAGCCTTCCTGCCACAGATAATACTTAGTCCCAATTATTAAGATAAAAGAAGTAAACGTTTCCATTTTTTTTTCATTTTCTCCCTATACAGTCAAATTTATCAAAGTTAGTAGCACTGTTTCAGCAGTCAAAAATATATTTGAAGTAGAAAAGCAGGGGGTCAATGCAATGCTGAAAATATTTGGCACGGGGTCTACGAGACAAAAAAAGTTTGGCAACCTCTGGTTAGATCTATTTTGTCAGTTCCTTAAAAATGTTACTTCTTGAATTTCGTCATTTTATTGCAGAGGGTGCGATATGTACATGCAATCTCCTCTACCCAATAAGATTGTCTAATTATTCGTCCACGGAATACCAATATCGTAGTGAAGCAACATTAAAGTGACATCATTCGTTTATATCAACGCAGTAGAATTGAATGCTTGCTCAGAAATGGTGTTGCGTCATCTGTTCTATGACATATTATTGCTTTTTGTCTTATATATTGAGACACACACCATTACGCTTGTCTCTATTTTAAATTGCTTTAATGCCGTAAATGCAAATTAATCTATGCACAATCGGTGTCCCAAGATACCTAACCCCTTAACCGTGTATTTGGTTCTGAGTATATCAGTGTGAAGAAAGGTGAACCTTTACCCCTTGAGCCGAAAAATAAATTTTGGTATGACTTCATTATTTAATTAATCTAAGAAATGAGATCCTTGAAACGTTATTTCAAGCTAATCAGATGGTTAATTGCATTACATAAATGCAAATTTCAACTAAATATCGACTTGGGGGTCAGGTATGCAGGTATATATATTAACTCACAAAATACGTACCGTATGGACTGTCCGCCTTCGGGCCATCTGCATGCGTAGAATCCGCAGTGCTCTGAATCTAATATTTAATTTAGTGCGAATATTCACGGAAGACAGTCGCCTGCAATGAACTCACGGGTGCTTTGTGCGGAGTTCACGCGAAACGTGTTCCGTATGAAGCCACCGCGTCACTGTAAAACGATATTCTAAAGCCACACGTGTTACTCCGCTCCGGTGCTCCGCGCGGTCTTCAAACAAATCCGCACTGCTCGGAAACCAGCCTTAAACATCAAAGTTGACAAGTCTCATGTGCTTGCATTTTCACCACACCAGAGGCGGTGTTAATGAATATTTATTGTGGTTGTACTTCCCTGGACTCGGACGAAGTCCTTCACAAGGAGCGCAACTGCTAATAAACGTCAAAGAAAATAAATGTAAAGTTTATTTCTTTCTATTACAGATTTCAACATAACAAAATTTACACGTACATCGGCGAAGTATTGGTATCTGTCAATCCCTACAAGACCCTGGACATCTATGGGCCGAAGCACATGGCGCAGTACAGGGGCAGAGAGATGTTCGAGGTGCCACCACACGTGTACGCTGTCGCCGATGCGTGCCAGAGGGTGCTTAGGCAACAGGTGAGACTTGCTGACTTTAGATTATTTATAGGAAACACTAACCTACCATCATCTTGAGGTCCAACTGCCCGTTGCGGCATGGCGTGAGATTTTTAGGTGACGAATAGTAATATACCTTAATGTTATGACATGTTAGTTGAAATTTCAATGATAATGGCTTATGTATACCGAGCTGGAAGCTTCAGCAGTTTTCGGAATGGTTCGGCTTTACGTTCTACGTCACGACTGATGTGAAGTAAACTTGGGCACGCCCGGTATGACACACAGATTTTATAGAAAGCATCATATTGCGATCGGATAGTAATCAAGAAGAATTTCTGCTTTTATTACGTTACGGAGACAACGCAAAAGAAATTGGGTGCACGACATCACGAAACTTAGTAAAAATGTGCTCAATAGTTGAAAAAAAATACAACGTGCAATCCCGGTTTAGCCCCGCTCCCGGACCGGGTTCCGCGACCGAAATGATGTTGATAGTGATTAATAAAAATTTATAAATGGCTATTCTATTCAAATGGTAACAATAATCCATTCCATCCACCTAGAAATCGCTCTCTAATACTTCAGTTCTCGAAATGTGTATGGTGCCAGCCATAGATATAGGAAAAGATTGGGTACATCAAGGGATAGAACATGACCATTATTGTTTTCCCCTCAGAGCGTGACGCCTGTAAATTTATTATTGATTTCAAATAAAACACAAATGTTTACAACAGTTACGAAATGTTTAATGATTAAAAAAAAGCAGCCTGGCTCATGGAGTACGGATGCACATACAACTAAATAAAAGGTGCAGGCGACAAGGTTTACTTGCTGCTACGCTGTCGCGCTATTTTTTAAAATGTTTTATCACGTGTGTCCTGTTTTGTTAAAGCGGGATATTTTTAAATATTTTGAGGACAGCGGGACATGAAGCTTAAAAGCGGGACTGTCCCGCTCCAACCGGGACATATGGTCACGTTAGGTATACCCCATCGTCTCAGGTGTTTGGTGAATTTGTTCTGGATACGCTCGAGCATGAGCTTGTATTTCGTTTCATCCGGAGTCCAATTACTGATTTAGACTTTAATTGATTCCGTATCAAAGCGGTGTACGGCGTGGTTATGTATGATTTCGATATGCCTTTTTACATATACTTATTTACATGGTTTATTTCTATCGAGAAATGAACTTTTCTAAATTGGTCGTGGTCTGCGTGTTCTAAGAAATATGCCCCAGATTGAAATCCGTTGCACTGGTACTCATAGTACAGAATTTTTTTTTATAATATCAAATGACGGAACGAACAGGTCGTGCGCCTGATGGTAAGCGACACGCCTGTCCATAGCAGTTGCAGTGCCACTCAGAGTTTTAAATCGCAAAGATCTGAGGGGTACTGCTACTGCGCCCATCACCCTGAGACGTAAGTTGATAAGACCCATGTGCCTGTAATTTAACCAGCACCCTTACCCTTCAAAACCGACACACAGTAATACTGGCGGCAGAAATAGGTAAGGTGGCAGTACTTCCCTGGACGAACTCTTTCACAAGGAGCTCTACTGCTACCAAAACTGTTTGAGGCAGGCAAAGTTATAATTTTTAAAATTAATGAGAATTTTCTAATCGGGAATCTAAAAAACAATTCTATAATCGGGAAATACTACCGCCTTGCACCCTTTCGTTACATCCCTTGGGTACTACGATATATATTGTATTATTATCATTCTCAAAATCTATTTCCTTCGTTCAATCACAACAAGGAATGTTCAGTGCTTTATAGCATCCCATAAAAGGGCCAAGGATTGATTTCAAAAGATAAATGCGAGAAAAGCTTAACGTCTTACGAACCCATTCTAATCATGTTCAGAGATGGATTGCCTGATCTAGCTTTCTAGTTGTTCCTATAATTGCTTGGAATAGTGATGCGATACGTACGGTAGATTTATCGATAGTTTGAAGATATATTATCTTTTATTTGTTTGAGTATAACAAAACTAATGGCGTTAGAACTAAAGGTACTGTATTGTACATAGTAGTAGACCAAGGGTAAAGCTAAAGTCAGATTTCCCTGGTTTATCATTACTATCCGTGAATTAATTTAAAAAAAAATATTTAAAAAACATACTTCTCGTATGTAAGTGATGATCACAAAAATATCACTTGCTTTGGTCTCCCGTTCAATACTTTTACTACATTTTTTTCGCAGCGACTGATGTGGAGCAAAAATGAATTAAATTAAATTGATGGTACAGGGTCAAGAGCATGTCAAGCTTGACACTTAAAACTTAAATCCAACTCTACGCCGCTTACGATAAGAACGGTTCAAAGTACAAAGTGTTAAATTTGATGAGCTCTTGACTGTACTAACAAATTAATATTTTTATAACTTCGGCCTGAAATGAATGATTTATTAGTATTATTTTAAACAAATGTAAGATAGAAATATATATATAAATAAAACATATGTAACGTACGTAAAAACAAAAACAGGAGATTGTTTTCCATTTCATGTCTAAATAAAACCCATCATATTCCGCCGTCTACCTAAAAAACGTATGCCAAGTAAAAAAAAAGGATTTGTCAGGTCTATCGATAACACGTGTCCTTACTTGTAGTATCGATAGTTTTCCTGTTGAACTGGCGATACTACGCATTTACAAATTCTAAGGAATTAGGTGTAAAACATAATTTATTTTCTCGACGTTTCCAATGATTTATATAGTTTATAGATACGCGGGTTTATGATGGTGCAATTCATCTTTCAATCTTCTTGGACATTTAGAACCAAGGGTTATCCATTGTTCGAAACGAAAAGTCATTGTAGTACCATTTCATTACCATTCAATCTTTAGGCTGCATCAAGACACGGGTGTTCTCCAGAAAGAGGCTTTAGACAATGGTCTTTTTTTAAGACAACTGCATTACCTGATCTCAAGCTAGATAATTATGTATAAACGTGTAATATTTGTACTAGAGCGACGGACTGCACTTTCAATACCCAGAACACCTATCTACCGGGAATCGAACCCAAGACCTAGTCTCCCAACGCTCACATTGCAAACGAGGTTGTCTTCTTTAGTTTGTAATGACAACCGCAACAAATGTGGGAGCAAAGGAATCAACATCGGAGACACTAACCAGAACACACTGATTCTAACCGATTTTATCGAAACTGGGCTTTTCTAATTTAGGGTGCTCATTACTAACCGCTGGTACATTGAAGCAGTCAAATACGCTTTCAGAATTTTGACGTATCTCACCTGACAAAAAGCCCTGGAAGAAGAGATACGGTTTCACTTAGATCATGAGAGAATTTGTGTGAATTGTAGGAATATCTGCATTACTTAGATGTATGTGCTCCATGTTCGACCTCATCGTTACTTTCCATCGGGTGAGATGGAGTTCAAATGCACACTAATTTTTAACCGACTTCAAAAAAAGGAGGAGTTCTCAATTCAACTGTATGTTTGTTTTTTGTATGTATGTTACGCGATAACCCCGGTATTTGTGCATCGATTTTCATGATTCTTTTTTGTTGGAAAGAGGGTGGGTACCTCCATAGTAGTCCCATTTAATTTTGAAGAAAATGATCCACCTCTAAGAGTGGCTGTTCACGCGTGAAGGTTCATTTTTATAAATAGCGCCTAAATTTTATTATAAGGAGCAATTATTTTAATGGTTGATTTTGCTATTCTCTAATTCCAGGCGTTTTTCTCTCAATATACTTTGGAGTAGTGAGAACCTTTTTATTTATATACATATATTATATAATTTTTTATTTTCTCCAGTGTCAAGTCCCGTGGCGAATTAGGGGATGAATCCGGGTTTGCGCACTTTCCGGCAACCGATTTCAAAAAAACTTGACATATAGATGCAATTCCGCGTACTTTTGAGGTCGGTTTTTTTTTCGTACTCTTTACTGAGATATCTGTCCGAAACACTCGACCATATTAGAAGACTCATGATGCGAATGAAGCTTCATGATGGGCGTTCTCTTTTGATTTAGTCGAGTATTACTTATTTGACAGTAACTCGTTGGTAACCAGATAAACAGTGTATTATCTCAAAAACACAGATTTTTCAGAAGAGCTATTTTAAAGTTTCTTCTAGCATTATTTCAGCCGTTATTGTTATTTACAGTTCCGTAGTTTTAATCCTGAAATTGTTCAGAGAGTTCTATAATATTACCCTTTTCAACATGAAATATTTATGATTCAGAGTTTTAACTATTCATGCTTAATATTTTTAATGAAAGAAGGAATACTATTCATTTCGATAAAAGTTTGAGGAATACAGTAGTATCTCAAAAAAATACTCTCTTACTATAGAAAAATATCCCTTAAAAAAGTATTTATTACCTTGAAATAATCGTCTTCGTTTTAGAAATAAATATTTTTAAAATAGGTTTTAGTTTCAATACCCTGTTCAACGAACGACGTCTTGACGACTATAGCTTGGTGTATAATGCTGAATATAACTGTGTTGCTCAATGTTTGGCCATTTCACGTCCGATAGTTATAAGACGTTCATTAGAAAGACCACGACTTTTTTTATACGACTGCATTTTTAAGTAAGAAATCAAAAATTTTGAGTTAGAACGGTTTCAGATAGAGAACGGGACTAGACCCCAGGTTCAGTCAAAGAACACTTAATTTTTATAGATAATAAGTGCGCATTGACATCCTTTTCACCTGATGGAAAGTGACATGAAGTCGACCATGGAGCATACACGCCTAAATAATGCCTATTCACACTCGTCTTGAAAAGGCCCAAGTTATAACATTCAGGGAACAAGTCTGCAAGCAGGGAATTCCGCTCCATAGCCGTTCGCCATATAAACGTGGAAGCGTAACGCTTCGTGCGAATCTTTGGAATATTCACAACATAGGGGTGGAACCAAAGCCTACGCCTAGTCCCCCGGTGATGGAAAGGGGAAGGCGGAATTAAAACGTGTTATTCAATCGCACACTTGCCGTGATAATATATCCTATAAAATACCTATACCTGGTTGACAGAAATGGTGAGCTCTTCATTGTGGCAAGGCTGACCACGTGGTAGTTATATTTATCTCGCTGTCGCTAGGTGCTGAAGCAATTAACGGTCCGCAGCTTTTCTATTTACCTTGCATTAAAATTTTTAATACACGCGTCGTGTAACAGCAGCAGTAAAATAACAAAATCACGAGCCAACATTTTAATTAATCATGTTACATATACAAGCCTTATGTAATGTTTTAAGAGAAAATAAATAATTACGAAATTAGTAACTTTTCTTGAAGTAAAAGAGAAAAATGGCTTTTATTGGTAGCATTTTAAAGTTCAAACTTCTAGGAGCTGCGGGACCATTCCAAGTTGTTCATTCACTGTTTGAATGAATACCACTAAAAACAATAAGCTTCTAATTAAGCAGCAGATGTCAAACTTATTTTTACTGCACACTATTATACTGAACGTTAGGTGTCGTCAGGTGTTACATTTTATTTCAAAGAAATGTGGATCATATTTACAATACAATAGTGAATGAAAACAAATGAAACAATTTTTTTTTGTATTTACAACGCGCGTAACAATTTTTTCAAACAAACCAACGCTTCGGGCCCTTTACAGGTCCCATGGTCATGGTAAAGTCATCAACCAGTTATGTCTAATATTAATGCAAACCACCGTTTTTAATTTTAAAAGTAATTAATTACCTTGTTTTTAATTTTACAAAGAACATTCCAATTTACGCCACGTAGGGTAAAATCGGATTAGATTCACTTATTGAAAGGGCCTCCTCATTTGAAAATGATTAGTTTACCATGAATAATTCCTATGGATATAACTAGTTTAATCTTTTACATTACATTAAGACTAGATTTTATTGGTCTAACATTTACTGATTTTGAAGAAATTGAATTTTGGCAAACCTATTTTTTGAGGATAGATGAGAGCCGACCTATATGGATAGACGCCACACGATGAAATTACTAAGGATAGATGCCCTTTAGAATAAAAAAGTAAAATTAATAAAATGTTTTATTTGTAATCTTTAATATATTATATATACATATTACATCTTTAATAATTATTATTTACGTCATTGACTTACAATTATATGGACGTCGGGTCCGTGCTAAAAAGTGTCCGAACTTATAGGGCGTTAAAATCGTATACAGAGCGTCATTCACGCTCTAGTCTTGGTTTGTTCGACTGACAGCGAAGCAAGCAAAATTAGACAGTACTGCGATGACATTACAATTTAAATTCAACGTTTTAGCTTTTTATATTCCTTGACATGTCACTACGTTTAAATAGGTTGACTTGATACATTTTTTTCGTGGTTTTTGTATTAGACCCGTCGTCCATTTATTTGTAAGTCAATGATTTACGTATTTAAAGTGACTACCTACTTCACTTAGTTTTTTTGTAGCTATCAAAACATTCCATACAAAAATCTTCGCTGTTTGAACTGTGAATAATTTGTCTTTTTAGTACTTTTACTTGCTTTTTACTATTATCATTTACTTGTCTTTTTCACTAAAATAATGTTATTTTTCTATTCCTAACTTTCTTGTCGTGCCCTTAAGGGCACCTATACCGCAAAAAATCTAGGCGACTATCCTATTCGATATGTATAGATGCCCTTTTATTATATAACGAAGCTATATATATACAAAAGAGCGATTATTGATAACTAGGTGCGCAATTAATGAACCAGTGTTTAGTTATAATAAAAATAAAACGGAATTTATTTTAACTTACAAAGTTACCCAACAGTTAATATTTGCGTCTGAAATTTTGAGATAAACGCATGCACAAGCCAAACGCGTCTATTACACACGAAGCCCCGCAGGAACTTTGATGAGTGGTGTATATACCATAGATATAAGAAAAAAGGGGAGATATGTAATGACGCTATGTATGATCGGGTACCGATGACGCCACTTTTTAGCTTGTGTGCAATTCAAACTTTACGCTCTATTATCTACCACTATAACTTAAGTAAATACTTATTTTTAGGATTTTGATTGGGTAGGGTTTAAAACGTGGAAACGACGCAATTTTACATTTACAAACACAATTTTAAAATTTAACAAAATTAAACTTACAGTCATTCATATAGTATAGTATTGTATAGTCAACCGTGACCATGGGACCTGTAAAGGGCCCGAAACGTCGGTTTGTTTGAAAAAACAAATATACGCGATTTAAATCCGGAAAAATAGTTTCTTTCCTAAGAAAACCTATCTTTCGATTTTCCTGCAGCTTCAATCCAACCTTCTTTTATTTTGAACTCATTTGGAAGAACTTAAAAATTAAAAAAATCTGTAAATTAAGTTTGATCTACGAGTATAATGGAATTTAAATATCTAAACTATCTAAAACAATAATACACGTACATTTTTCTTCAAGCAACAGCAACATACAAATTGACATGAAATTGAAACGGTTGTCCGAAATATGAGTTGTGTTAAAGTTACTCGAAATAAAATGTTTAGTTATAATAATAAAATAAAAGAAATCAATTTAACGTGAATGCTTTTCGCTTCGATATTTTAGGGACTTTAATTACAAAAATCATTGTAAGAAATTCAAACATTTCAGTAAAAATTCATTGTCGATAAACATCAGTCATCGTAAGTGAACATCACTATATTTGAGTCTAGAAATTTCTATGGAGACAAAAAGAAAACTTTGAATAATAATAGAAATAATAACTAAAAATGCAAATTGCCGGTGGAATGTTAATCACACTGGTTTTAAAATTTTTGTTTTCACTCTAATTTTTACAAAGTGTATCGCTACAACTTGGCATTTTCACGTTTTACGAGAGATCTTGTATGTACAACGATCGCCATGTCACTGTGACGATGTTTGTAGGCGTGTCACCTCGATATGATCATTTTGATCATATCAAGGCGACACGAACCACGCCCCCGTACCAAATCTCCCCTTTTTTCTATATCTATGGTCTATACTCCTTATTTAAACTAATTATTCTTTGTTGCGATTTGGGGAAGTTAGGTTTTTTTTAAAACGAGGCACCTATCCCACTGCGGCATCTATCCCGGTTTTACCCTATGTTTTACAAATTATTTTATTTTAACAATATTAATTTTTATTAAGCTAAATTTATTATTAATTATTAATGGAAATTAGAATAAATCATAACATATTAATTAGTAATTAATGTCTGTTTGGGATTTTTCATCAGAGGAAATACTGGATCCCAAACTGGTGGTACGGAGAAACCATCTTCCCTGGTCAAATTAGGATGTTTTTTTAAATTTTATTGGCCTCTCGCAGCATCCTGGGTAGAGAACGGTTTTCGTTTGCAATGACTTGTTATCAGTACAATTTAGCAAAATAACTGTTCTTTTATTTGTCAGCAAAAAGGGGGCGTGGAACAACGATAAACCAAAATCAACCGTATTACGACAATTAATTAGGTCATTTTCAATTGGACTAATAATGTATATTACTCTCGTTACGCATGTATTGCGATGTATTGTACCATTAAACGACTGTTTCAATGGTGACAACATGTTACTGAATGATACACAAATGCGGGAGTTCGGTGACATTGGTTCATATAGTATTTATTAGTTCTAAACACCATTTATGTTCTTAAGTATTCGGTGGGTTAGAGAAGACGTAAGAGAGTCTTCTGCGTCGATAGCAAGCGTTCTTCCAACTACCTCATCACGGGGCGTGTTGCTGTTCTCTGCTTCAACCATAATATCACTAGAGATGTTAAAATGTCACTTTTCTGTTCCAGGGCAGGGACACATGTGTGTTAATATCAGGAGAATCTGGTTCAGGCAAGACAGAAGCCTCGAAGTTAATCATGAAGTATATCGCCGCCAATACCACGCAAGTTCACAGGGAATATATTGATAGGTTAGTTGAGAATTTAGTTTGTAAGAATGTGCAAATCACGCAGCTGCTGGAAAACGCCATTCATGGTACACAAACAACCTGTTGAATCTCCAGGCCAGTTTTTAGATACAAGTACCATTAACACTCTATGGAGACGATTATTATATTAACAGTGAGTACATGGAGAACCATGATTAAAATATAAAGAAATAGATGCCAGGAAACACACTTTTTTGAGGACACTGGGTGTCCTTGCTGTGTGAACACTTTTTTTTGAGATCATGGATATCCTTTGTGTAAGAACACATTTTTTTTGGGATAGTGGGTATTTTTGCTGTGAGACACACTTATCGTTACTAAAATGTTCCAGGGTAAAAAACGTGTTAATCCAATCAAACTCGATTCTCGAAACGTTTGGTAACGCCAAAACGAATCGCAACGACAACTCGTCACGGTTCGGCAAGTACATGGACATTCACTTCGACTACAAGGGTGATCCGGTCGGAGGACACATCAGCAACTATCTACTTGAGAAGAGTAGAGTAGTCAGTTTACAGCCAGGGGAACGCAATTTCCATGCTTTTTATCAGGTAAGAATTTCGCTTATTTTGGATCCAAATTCCAAAACCTGATGCCACCAATAATAACTGACATACCGTCAGTTTTCATTGGCATGTTCTCTACGCGTATACACTTGTTAGTCACCGTACATCTGAAGCTACGGGCAAGCCTTAAAATAATGGCGGTTTATCCACTTTTCATATAATTCTGTTCGTGTTGTCAGCAAAAAAATCAATTCTTTAAAATTCTCTAACACAGCGATAATTGATATCTAATTTACTAAGCTTTAGATAATAAAAATACCAGAATTATACCAATGACTCAGTCCCAAGCCAGGGAATTACCTTTATTATAGTACATACATTAAGAAAGTAAACGTGGCGAAGTGTCGACTTCCGCGTACATTGAAGATGTGCGGATGTAAAGGGCCAAGTCAAAAAAAGTGTGAAAAGGTTGATCCGACTGGAAGACAACAAATATGACGGAAACCGGGTGGAGGTATATAGTCTTTTTAGTGGGAGCGAAACATGATGGTGTGTGATTGGGTTGATGGGTTGAATACACACCGAGAGCTTGCTTTTCTGAGCAATCTGCTTTTATCCTACGTATTCCTATCGCAAACCAGCATTGCTGTGTTCTGGTTTTAAAGGCAGCGGCATCACAGGTCGTCACGGTCTTACGATTATCGTACGATAACATCCTTAGTATCGCGAATGCTTGTAAACCGTATAATGAAACTGCTGCCGCTGCTCGGTGTGTGGACCGCGTTTAGAATATTTTGATTGAACGTCTCTGTCAATCCCCATTTCCGTAAAGGCTTTGGCCCAAGTAAGTTGTGTTTATTTAGTAGCAGTAGAGCTCCTCGCGAAAAAGTTCGTCCAGCGAAGTACTGACACCTTACTTATTACTGCCGCCAAGATGTAATGCGAGCATAAAGGCCCATTTAGATGGAGAGAGTTTCTCGTCTCGAAAATACGATTATCGAAAGAATATAAAAAGCTTTCCTTGTGTAAACATTCGCGTATCGAGTTCTTAGGTTTTCGCGATTGTTACACATAGGAAATGAAACTATTTTTCCGGATTTAAATCGCGTATATTTGTTTTTTCAAACAAACCGACGTTTCGGGCCCTTTACAGGTCCCATGGTCACGGTTGACTGAGGTGGTACAGTCTTCAACCAGTTATGTCTAATATTGATGCAAACCACCCTATTTTTTCCACTATAGTTACAATAGTTATTAAATTTATTAAATACCTTATTTTTAATTTTACAAAGAAAACATTCCAATTTACGATATATTAAGTTTTACAAATTATTTTATTAAATGAATTTTTATTAAGTTCAATTTATTATTAATTATTAATAGAAATTAGAATAAACTAAAACATATTAATTAGTACTGCAGTCTTATGTCTGTTTGGGATTTTTCATTAGAGGAAATACTGGATCCCAAACTGGTGGTACGGAGAAACCATCTTCGCTGTTGAAATTGGGATGTTTTTTAATTTCAATGGCCTCTCGCAGCATCCTGGTTAGATAACGGACTTCTTTTACAAAGACCTGGGGTTTGTCAAACTTCATTGAATGTGTAGGTTTATCCATGACATGCTCGCAGACTGCAGACTTGTTTACGCGACGGTGTTTGACATCAGCTATATGTTCTTTGACGCAGGTACAAATACTTCGCTTTGTTTATCCAATATAAGAGAGACCGCACTCACAGTCAAGCTTGTAAACTCCTGCATCCTGTAAGGGGATGTTACATTTCACGGGTCTCAGAAACTGAGAAATCTTCCTCAGGGGCTTGAAATAGGTCTTGATAGATGCGCGCCTGAGGACTCTTCCGATCTTGTCTGTAACACCTCTCACGTAAGGTAAGATGGCAGGTCTTGACTGTTGGTGGTTTCACACGGGGCCTGTGGCATTGGCGTGGAATCTTCAACTTATTCGCATGTAGGACTTGCTTTATAATGTTTAAATTTATGTTGAAGTTCCCCTGCCAGATGATTACTGTCGCAGACACCATGTGCTCTCTGAAACAAAGATTTGCCCACGGTAGCTAACTGGCTAGGATAGTGATGGGAATTACCATTGAGATACCTATCTGTATGGGTTTTCTTTCACAACGGAGAGAACGTAATCACATTTCATCGGTAATTAAATATTATGTAATTTTGCAATTTTCGTCCATTATAGCAAAGCTCAAGTTAACTGGTCGATTTGAATTGAAACAGTTGACGACACCCGTCAATTGTTTTGAACTCGCGCTGGCCAATCGGAGAGCAGTTGTCACAGTAATGATATGGCAGAATAGTTTTCAAACAAATTAAATGACATTTCGTCTCTATTTCTGGATGTATACTCGATGATTGCATTAAACACTGAACTCGAATGGCAATTCTCGCACTCAAAACGGTACGAATCGATTTGTACGATAATCGTATGAACTTAAAAAAATGTCATACGAGATCGAGTTTAGACAAGTCGAGAACTCGTAAGCAAGAATCTCCTTCCTAGTAGTTTCTCTGTGTAAACAATTAAGGAGGCGATTAAGTTGCTTGCGAATCTCGTATGACATAATCGTAGGTGAGATTTTAGTTCTTGCCTGAATGTAAACATTTTGATACGATAATCTTATGGCGATCATTGCTTGCGATAATCGCGTACGATTTTTGATCCATTTCTCCATCTAAATGGGCCTTTACTGTGTTCCGATTTTGAAGGGTAAGTGTGCTGGTGAAAATACAGGTACATGGAACTTGTGACGGGCGCAGTGGCAGTGCCCCTTATATCTGCGATTTATTAACAGTTGCTAAAGAAAACAGTATAATAAAAATATTGTTTTTACGATGTTTTATATCTACCAATCAATAAATAAGGCCTTGATATCATGCGTGGTTGTGATAACAAATCGACGAATTTATCTTATATGTAGATAACATTGAATACAATCAGTTTTGGTCGGAAAAACACTGACATCTTAGGCCTTTTCAAGGCGAGAATCAATAGCCACTTTCTAGGCAAGTGTTCAGCTTCCACGACCACGTCTTCACATACTGTTAAAATGTGATTTAATGTTTGCCTATATCAGTGTACCTTAGGGTCCGGGTTTGGGACCCAAATTTTACTTTGTTCTTTTCAAGGCGTAAGTGAATAGACATTTTCAAGGCAAGCATTCACCTTCCTCGACCACAACGTTATATATCATTAGGTGTGATTGTGGTTCAATGTTTGCCTGTATCGCTGCGGTGTACCTTAGGGTGGGTGAGGGCTTAAAACCAAAATCCTACTTTGTTATTTTCAAGGCGAAATTGAATATGCATTTTCAAGTCAAGCTTGCACCATCCTCAACACGTCGTCACATGCCATTAAGTGTGATCGTGATTCAATGCTTGCCTATACATAGCTATGGTGTACCTTAGGGCGAGATTTTAGGACCAAAAACCTATTTCGGCTTTTTCAAGGCGAAAGTGAATAGGCATTTTGAAGGCAAGCTTGCACCATCTTCGACCACGTTCATCACATGTCATCAGGTGTGATTGTGGTTAATACAATAAATACCCATATTGCGACGGTGGTGGTGTCCTTTGAAATAAGGGTTTAGGACCAAAAACCTGCTTGGATCTTTTCAAAACTAAAGTGTGTTGGATATTCAACGCAAGATCCTCGACCACGTTATCACATCCCATTACGTATATGATCGTGGTTCAATACTTCCATATACCGCGATGGTGTGCTTCAGGGTAGGGGTTTAGGACCAAGATTTAGTGGACTTCGTAATGGAAAAAGCCTTAAAGTTTTTTTTTCCATAATTTACAGGTTTTGTCACGATATACTTCTTTACCAATTCTCAATACTAAGTTACAGTAATTTTACTATAAAACTAATATCGAAATTGCGATCGTTTGACCTTAATTCGGGTAACATTATTCTTTATTATGTTATAAGCAATGATGTTATAAGAGTCTAGATACGTTTATCGTAGTAATAAAATGTGTTTTATGATAAATACATCCATGCTTTGATTAAAGAACTATATATAGATAGCGGTTTAGTACATGCCAATTGGCGGTGGCTTTGACGGGACCCTACCCAGAACACCCACACAAGAAGCAATTTAGAAAAAGGATCTTTCTCAAACGGTTCTATCGGTAATCGAATATGGGATCTCCTCTATCCAGGCACAAGCACTGCTAACCTTACGTCTCAAGTAGACAGGCGCAGTGGCAGTCTTCTGAAATTTAAAGTTCTGAGTGGCATTACAACTGTTATGGATAAGCGTGTAGCTTACCACTGTCACACAGAAAACCGTTTGGCGACAGAGATCGTCCAAGTATAATTAAATGCATTTTAGCTAGTGAAAACTAAAATTCCGATTTTGATTGATATCATGAAAAACCTGCGACTCAAACAATTTGCCCTTTTCCTAATTGATCCTTTCACTGTGCTAACAGCCGAGCCTCCGAAATCGTCGAAGTAACTATTAACCAGTGCCTATACCATGAGTTCACAATAACAGTTGTCGCTGTCGACTGCGTATAATATTTGACAATGTTATATGCCAGTTTGCACAGCGCCCTTAGCGGTCACAAAAATAAATAACATTTTGCATATAAACATTTTACGCGTTCGCTAACGTCAACTGTCGCCACGGAATATTAAATACAATGCAATAAAGTGCTTAGTTTGTGTGACACTTGTGCCAACAGTATGCGAAATACCACATACTTCAGTCAGTCAGTAGGTCAGTCCGCCATTTTCGCTTTGTACGTTATTATCGTGTCAGGTATCTCACGCAAAACCTCGAAAAACGTAGAAAAATGCCTTATGTTTCTACTTTGGAGTGCAAAAATCATAGTCGCATTTGTAATTATCTATGGTGGTGTTTTATTAAGCCTTATTTGACTTAATTTTAATAAATGTTAAATTCACTGTTTATCGTAATATTTTTAACAAGAAACGAAGGTAAATCTTATACCGCTGCAATATTTTCGCTTCTTATTTAGAGAACTATGTAAACATCTCGAATTCGTCGTCGTTCAGCTATTAACCGCTAGATGGCAGCACGTTGATTAAAATTTCAATATGTAATCAAAACGTCGTAACTTGCAATAATAGGCATTGATGGTATTGAAGTTTCAGCGACATGCCAAGTGAGAAAAGTTTAAATTATTAACAGTTCAGAAATTGTTGTTTCTTTTTAAATTAGAAACTATGACCAATCCTTATCAAGATTTCATAGTGTTTCAAATTATGTATGTGTGAGTTTTTATGACAGTAAGTAGTTTGAGGCTTAGAGCACTTTTATTGTTTTTTCTTCCGTGTCTGTCACTATGTATTCATGGTAGAGCTTACACTAAACGAACAGCAACAATCAATCATCAGATAATCACCTCACACGCGTCTACATACGTTATTAAAATCGATGACCATGAACGTTTCTGATGGGTCATTTATAAATTCCACCACCCATTGAGTCATCACCACTGTTTCATAGCACGCCCACCACTACTATTAAGATTTACGATACTTCCAATTTAAAATATAACCCGTGAATCTTTTATTTATTTTTATTACTTATCTATTCTAATAATAAAAAAGAGGTCAAGCCTCGGTGTGGACTACCCACGTGTACGTCCCACTCCGGTCCACGGGTCTACTCGGGTAATGAAGTAACAGACTCTCGCGAATGCGGTATTCAGAGCGGTGGTAAAATTGCGCCTCAGATGAGAGGTTTTTGTGACCCGTGACTTTGATTTCTAAATTTAAATATAATTTTTGATACCTTGTGACGGCACAAACATGTCGTGCGCCTGATGGTAAGCGACACGCCTGTCCATAGAAGTTGCAGTGCCACTCAGAGCCTTAAACCACAAAGATTTGAACGTAACTGCTACTGCGCCCTGAGACATATGTTGACAAGTCCCATGTGCCTGTAATCTAATTAGTACCCTTAATCTTCAAAACCGGAATACAGTAATGCGCACTAATGTTAAGGTACTTCCCCGCACCAGCTCTTTCCCATGGAGCTCTACTGCTACTAAATTGTGAAACCTGCATGTGGAAGAAGGTTGAGAACCCCTGGCAAATTTGTGACGCATTGTGACCAGAGATGGGCAAGTGTCCGGGTTTTAATCCGGCACTTTGTTAATGCTGGTTAAAATCGGAATAAAACCCATTAATGAACAAAATCGAGGGCAAAAATTATTTCAATTAATATTTGTTTTTGTAAATTTTTATTGAATTGATATTCAATTATTTTTATGTGCAATTACCCCACTAGTTTGTTATAATTATTAATACAAAGATCAAACATTCAGAAAAAGTTCCTTCGATCCGGCCGGATTCGAACCGACGTCTTCTAGCTTACCGTACCAGACGCTATACCAACTAAGCCACGAAACGAACCAGCGGATCTCACAATTTTTTCTATGTGCTTTGTATTTGGTTTTTCAACGACGTTTTACATAGAAAACCAAAAACCCGGTTAAAACCCGGGCGGGTTGATTGGGTTGTAACCCACTGCCTATCTCTGGTTGTGACGGTGTGGGGGATTACGGCTAAATTTTAGAGGAGACCTGTACACTGCAGTGAGACGTATATGGGTTAATTATAGCAATAGGGTTTTAATGTTATAGAATACGTACCCACTAAATTGTTTTAGAATATATTACTCAACTGGATTTTGAGAAAAAAAATGTGTCATTTGATAACAACATTGATGACTAATATAGAAAACCATTTGAGGTTGGGCCCTCACATCGATGACTAATATAGGAATTAATTTGGGGTTGGGGTTCAACCCTTGTGTTGTTTATTCAATGTCCCTTTCTTCAAACGATCTCTACTTATAAAGGCCTTAATGTCCAAGTTTTATAAGGAATTTTGTTAATGGCTCTTTCACTGTGACCCTTCATGTTTACTGTTTATTCTATATTATTATTATAGACTTTTCAACTTACATAGATTTTAAGGCTTTCGTGGTTATTCACTAAATGATGATTGTCACTAATTTCAAGTTTTTTACCACAGCATTTTATTTTCCCGATATTTCGGAACGGTCAACCCGAGACCATGGAGCGTGCAACCGTTCCGAAATATCGGGAAAGTAAAAAGAAGTCAGACCATGGTAAGAAGCCTGAAATTAGTGAACTTATATCTCAGGGTGACGGCCACAGTGGCGGTGCCGCTCACATCTTTGCGATTTAAAGCTCTGAGTGGCACTGTAACTGTTATGGCAGGGACTACTCTTTGCTCAAGTCAGGATCAGAGTATGAACTCTGATCCTGACTTGAGCAATGAGTAGAGTGCTGGAATATGACCCTATGTTATCTTAGTATGTAATATTAAGTGTGAGTATCAAGTTTAGAAATGGGTGCGTTTGGCGACAACTGCTTTAGTACTAAAGCCACTTAACATCATTTCCTCTGGCATGTTTATTCCATGATAAACCCAATCGGCTGGCCAGGGTCTAAACGGCATGAGTTTGCACTAATTTTGGCGACAATACGACTTTTTACAGTACATTTTCCACGTTAAGAAATTTTCATAAATCATAACATACAGAGTGACAAAAAAGTCGTTTATTTTTCTATCAATCGACTACGTGTGTCTCCGAGATCGTCAATTTCATGAACAACTTGTTTGTTTACAGTTACTAAGCACAAGTAATCCAGTAGCAAAGAAGTTCGGCCTGTCAACAAGTGCAACGTATAAAATTCTGGGCAGCGAGCGGGCGACAGCGCAAGATTCAAAACTTCATTCGGTTACCAACAGCGCGTTCAGCTCATTGGGCTTCCCGCAGAATATTGTGGACGACATTTGGAGTATAGTCGCAGGTGTTATTTTATTGGTAAGTGCTTAGGATCGAAATCAGCGCCACCTGTTAGGAAATATACGTTATTACTATACATTCCATCCTCAATAGTAAAGTCACTTAAAATTTTGCCGGCAAAATAAGTTTATGAAATATAACACGAAATGAAAACGAATAATGGTTTTTGATGTCAAATACAATTTTGTCACAATTTGGCTCCAGGTAAGTGACATAGTTAGCTGCTGTCATTCACTGAGTAACATTAGGCATACAAACATATTAAAGTTGTGTTATATATATCGAGTTCTTAGGTTATATATTTATTCACAAGCACTTCAACAACCTAAAGTATGTGGGTGTGACATGTTCATTTTAATAATATGATAAGAGCGTATACACATGGATTTAATACGTCAGTCAATAATTTAAAAACGCGGTGAAGTTGTTTCGATCAATTTTAATGATAGTATCTGTAAAACGTAACTAGATGTCAAATTAATAACAATAATTTTGAAAACGTTAAATTAACATACAAATTATTATGAATATCCTTTAATCTAAAAGTTGTCGATAACTATAATCTATCAATACGTAAGAGGGTGTGATGCATCTTGAAATTAGAATAAAATCTCAGCCGATACGCAAATTTCGCATTTAGGAGCTTTTTATTAAAATAGTATAACGAAACTTGTGTTCAATTTGTTACGGTGAAATACCAGTTGATGACGTGATGTCTACATTACAGGGAGAACTAACCTTCTCAGAAGGTCAAAATGGCCTTCAAATCGGCGGACCTCTAAAACAATGCGTCGCAGCGCTTGGCGTGTCAGATGCTGCGTTACAGTCGGCTATGGCCGGCAGAGTGTTATCAGCTGGTGGGGATTTAGTCAGCAAAGAACATTCGCTCATTGACGCCAATTACACGAAGCTGGCGTTAGCCAAGGCTGCTTATGACAGACTGTTCACCTGGATCGTGCAACAGGTTAGTTTATGAATAAATAACGCACTCGGAAAACCCTGTGTCGCGGGTGCCATGGACTAACACATAGACACCACAAATTACACCAAAAGTCCCGAGAGAAGTAAATGTAAGTCTATGTGAACGCACAGAGTCGATTACCGCTTCTTCGGCAAACGAATTCGGCAGACGAAAGTCAAAATCAAAGAATCATTTAAACCATAGGTAAAACAAATTTACACTTGAAAACGTCACATTTAAGATACTGCTCATTCAATACGCTGACCTCCCTGAGAAGAACGAGCAAGAAACTCTAGGGATAGCTCTTTTCAAATAAACTTAAATGCTATGGAATACACTTTCAATCAAATTTGTGTGGAATCTACAGCCATATCGTCTTTCCGTGCATCTTTATCTTTTTTTCTTTTGACTTTTCAATCAAAGTATTTTTAATGTAGTTTTTAAACTTAGGAAATGATAATCTTAATATATGCTCCGGAATCTTATTGTAAAAACGTATACAGTTCCCCATAAAAGAGTGTTTACCTTGGTTAAACGAAAGCGTGATACCATGAGTTTGGACTTAGCTCTAAGGTTAATATTATGGAAAATGGTGCAGTCGACACGCGGTTTATACCGATTCGATTGCCGCCTTTGCCGAAATCACCAAATCATTATAAATACAAGTTTACGCACAGAGACCAACAAATTTTTCGAAACGTTCAATAAAACGGGTAAATAGGTCTTCCCCAAACCGGCAGAACAAAGGCGCGTGTCCACACTAAGAAAAGTCGCCGGGTCTGTGCAAGAATTCGTGTCGATCTTGTGTAGCCCCGACACGACGCGCTCTGCCGCTATTGTATGGGGCGAGTGCATTGTCAGTAAACGAACTTTTATGCGTGTGGACGGGTGTTGCTTAATAGTCAACATATACAACAACATATTTCTTCCCACAGTCGGTAGTCAAACGACAGCTACCTGGAAGACTCGTAATGCACTGACACAATTACCTTACACACGTCTGTCCGAAATCATCCGTATCGTGAACATACTCATCATTGTCGTGTCTGCACATGTTTTCATTGACATGTTTTCGTGGCTAGATCCGACAAAGTTCTTGTCATGTACAAGACCATTCTCATCGTTTCTGTAACAGTCACGTCGAATTTCTTAGCGTGTACACGTGTTTGGTTGGTCATCGTTCGGCGGTCGACTCTGTTACCTGACAGTGATTACACAGACTAAAAAACGACTCAATGTTTACACTGGTTAGGTCGTGTGTATGTTGTCCATTAAAAAAAATGTTTTCACAGATAAACAAAGCAATAGACGTACCCAGCGACACATACAAGAACACCCTAATCGGCGTGCTGGATATCTATGGCTTCGAGATCTTCGAAACGAACAGCTTCGAACAGTTCTGCATCAACTACTGCAACGAGAAGCTACAACAGCTGTTCATCGGTGAGTTGATTAGCTTGCATACCAAAAGACAAGCTGTAAATCGAAGCAGCTGGTAGTTTTAGTAGGTTAAAACTACCTGTGAGACCTGACTAGATGAGGAGATCCAGGGTTAACGAGCTTCTACAGAAAGGAGGAGGTTCACAATTTGACAGTATTTTTTTTTGTATATGTTACGTCATTACACATTTGTGAATCGATTCGATGATTTTTTTTGTTGGAAAGAGGATACCTAAGTATTGGTTCCATTACAATTTGAAGGAAATATTCCACTTCTAAGGGTGGCAAACTAGGGGATAAATCCGGATTTCAGTAAAACTTGGTGCATAGATGTATTC